TTTCGCAGCAATAGTCTGACTTTCCATCCATCGTCAAATTTGGAAAAATCAGTTTTGAACATGTCTTCGTACCGCTTGAACCAGGAGTCAAAAGTGTGACCAGAAAGAGCGTCAAATGTGAACTCCGTAATTGAGGCCGCGGCTGCATCAGTTGAGGAAACAGAAGACTCACCAGTACTGACTGCTGCTGTCTGGATATGCAGTTTCTGAGTCAGTGATTCAATGAGCTTCAGTTGCGCTTCTTCAAACTGCTTTTGTTGCTGCTGCAATAATTCTCGGAGCTGATCAAATTCGATTGACATCGTGGGTTCCCGTTCGCCAATTGTTGTAACGGTATTTTCCTCAGCTTAGTTCTCGGTCTGAGCCTCCCAAGCTAGCGTTCACGTCAAAACAACCACCAAAGGTGCACAAGGTCTATTAACGCCCAAAACGAAATCAGGAACAGTTGTACAGCGCTTCGTATATATAGCGTTAGCGGCTATAACTTTCTGGAATTTCTGACGCGTTCCGGAGCGCCATTGGCAACCGGCATTTGGCCAATACTGGGTCATGATTGGCTGTTGGGTTCAGATTGTTGACCAATCAGATCTCGCCTTGATGCCGGACCGGCAAGCGCCCCGAATTTTGGGCCAACCTCGAGCCGGCCGGGCTCCTCGGCCGTAGCAGCGCCTAAAGACGTGCGGTATAGTGGTATCCGCGTGGATTCCTGTCTAACACAGGTAGAATTTGGTGAAAGACGGTGGATGGAGGCTTGAATCCTACTTTCTTTTCGCATATCAACTTCACGGTTGCTGAAAATTTCACAAGCTAGCCGTTTTGGTGTAAGGCCGGAGACAAGACTGATCCCTATGGAGTTGTAAGAACCAGCCTGTGCTCCTTTCTTAGAAATCTCTCCAATCTTGGTCTCTCCTTGTAATAAGCCTCATTTTTCCGCATGTCAAAGAACTAGGAAATCGGTCCCTTTACATTCACTATGCCGTTATCTCCTTTTAACGCTGTTGGGGGTTTAACAGGATCGCGGGCTTGGTGGTGCTTTGTTGCAAAGAATCCTTGTCTTATCACCTGTTCATTTAGAACATACTTTGAGTCTGGTCAAATTGGATCATCTACCGCATGTTGGTGGTCAGTTTAATTCTGAGCTCGAGATAACTCAGTGATAACTTGCGCCCTCAATGGCGCTCGTGCATCCAAGCTATTTCCTCAATGCATAACTCCCCAATCCACCCACTTAACAGTACATTGACAGTACTATATTTATGGACCAATTTTTCAGCCCCCTCCTCCGATTCACATCTACCTACCCCGCATCCACAAATCATCGGTGATCGAAACCGTCGCAGCTACAACCACTGTGCGACAAGTACGCGGTTCTTACAGTTGATTAGGATGATGATGGATATGATGACACCATTTGCGGCAGTTCTCGATACGCCACATTGCCATCAGTTACCGATGGCGCGAGGATGATGATATGATGACACCATTTGCGGCAGTTCTCGATACGCCACATTGCCGTCAGTTACCGATGGCGCGGATCCATAACTGACTGCCTGCCGTTTTGGAACACATTTGTGGACTCTGACCACGCGCTCGTCCGGGGTCGCTTCACCCTACGTTTCCCGGGGTCGCGTAAGGTGCGGACAAATGGCATGGCAACTGAAAGACTGGCAGATCCGGATGTCAGACGAACTTACAAGAATCGTCTTCTAGAGTCTCTTCCAAGTGCTCCACCATCAGATGTGAACTCATACTGGGACGAGATTGATACCTCTTTGCATAGTGCTGGGAATTTTGCCTGTGGCACGACCCAACCAGGCGCACTCAAGCACTGGATATCAGACGGAACGGAGTCACTACTTAAATCTCGAAGAAATATCCCAGCCGCTCCCGAACATAACCCGACACGAAGAGCCATCAGACGTCAAATGAAAGTGAATTTGCAATCCGACCGTGAAGTATGAG